AAACATTGGCTTTCAAACTATCTGCCAAACCCACTTTGCCCCAACATCTGCTCCGGAATACCATGATATGGACACGTAACCAGTAGACCCTTGAATCTCTCCCACGTTTCGTGTGGTGTCTCAGTTGGTTTCTATTTGAAGCTCAATAGCTCATCAATTTGCAGAGCATTCTTACTGGGTGGATGAAATTTGCTCAAATATTGCTTGGCTAATTCCTCCCAAGTAGTGATGGAGTTGATGGGGAGTGAATTAAGCCAAGTCTGAGATGCTCTTGTCACTGAGAATGGAAACAACAACAAACGTATTGCTTTCGGTGTCACGTTGTGTTGCCTCTGCATGGCGCAAATTGATAGCAAATTCTTGAGATGATGCTGAGGATATTCAATGTATGACCCAGAGACTAGTCCCTTATTCTGCAACAGATGTAACATGTTATTTGTGATCTGGAATGAATCTGCTTGTATCAGGGACTACAATAGCAGTTGCTAAGTTGTTAGTTGTGGGTTGTGCCCAATCATATAGTGTCGCTTCTGGCACAAGAGGTGTCGCACCCTGATCATTTAGGTCATTTGCGTTGTTCCTGTTGTTTGGATCAATCACGTTGTCTGTTGTTTAGATTATCGTCTTCCATATCTGGTTCAATTTTTTCGGGTGAGTTCTATTGTTGTTTGCCTTTCCTATTTGCACGGTTCAATGCCCTCAACACCTTCTCAGGATCTGATAATGCTTCCAATTCTTAGAATTTCAATGATCAAATTAAATTGTCAAAAATTAACTACACTAAAAAAAATTGCACTTCTTTTTCACTGCAATCAATAACACCGTTAATTTTCCGGCAACGGTGCCAAAATTTGATCACGCCCAACTATGCCTTATAAAAGGACAAAGCGATCACTGCAAATATATTTCGGTTAACAAGTCTGGAGTCAAATTCCACATGGAATTAACCTATCAATCACAGCTATTGGACGCACAGAAATTCACGTATTCAATCTTCAGAGATATTTGAGTAACAATTTGGGTGTTTATAAACTAAATATTACGTAATAAAAATGCAGTAATTAAGAACTAGCTATAAACTAGTTGTAAGCAAGAATGAGAAAGGTCAAAGGTTATGATTTCCCCTCTTGTCAGAATCTTTTCCGCTATGTTTGCTATAAATTTGCCTAAGTCTTCTCTATCGATCATGAGCACTCTGACTTCGTAACTCTCTTTCGAGTAATTACAACAATATACTAGACATATTCTCCCGAATTACGCTAGCTGGCCTTAGTTACAACTCACTTAGATCGCACCCAAGGTTTTGTTATCCCTAATCCCACCTTTAAACCCTTCGTATTGATCCCTCATATACGTCAGGAGTGGTGTTGTTCAACAACTACCTAAATATACACTCTCTCCCGAGTAATGCATACTAAATAGGCACAACTGACTGAGGACCCTTCAATCAACAACAATCACAATATAGTTGAACAAATAGAGAAAATATTAAGGCAAATCTATATTAACATATCAGAAATTCATCCTCCAAGAGGTTCCATCAAAACCCTAGATTAAGAGTTTAGCTACGCATAATCGTTTTCACAATCATAACAGTAGAATTCATCATTAATGATCAAAACAAGAGGAAGAAAGGTCAAACTCTATGTCGAATCTTTCGCCTTGCCTTTTGCCTCTTCTTGCCTTCAATAATCCTTCAAAAACCTTGATACCCTCTTTTTGGGCGAGCTGGGCTTTTTATAGATTAAGGAGAGTTGCCCCCGAACTTACAAATTCACCCCTGAAAATAACGTTCCTCGAAGTGACGAGCGCGTCCACGCTTGGGCCGCGCATATAGCATTCTTTTCTGCCTGACGAGCGCGGCTTGAGCGCGGCCGCGCTTGGCCTGCGCTCCTGGAGTTCAACTGTCTTCTATTTTTTTCCTTCTTCTTTCACGCGCATTTACCTCCGGTTGGCCTTCCTTGCTCCAAATTAGCTCCAAACACTGTTCAATGTTCTCATAATCAAGACTTGCTCCTGCAAAGCACAAAATTCATTATTAGAACCATTTTTTATCATTTAACCTTCATATAGCAATAAAGTATAGCTAAGTTGGGGCGTAACTGGTCGCTAAACTACATGAATATAGCCTATTATCAAGAAGCGATGAGTATATAGAATTTAACTTTTGATAGCTTTTAAAATTTTCTAATTTATAAGCATATTTTAGTCTATAATAATATGTAACTTGTCTTATTTTTATATTATTACGCAGTTTATTTTTGTGAAAAGTTATTTGTAATTATTTTTAGATAACAATGATGCAACATATTGTTTTACTTGGACGCCGTTGTGAATGGAAAAGCCTACACAACTTCATCACCGAGGAAGAAGCCAAATGCTACGGACTACAGTATTATTTTGAACTACTTAAATGTCTAATTTTTAATTTGAAATTGAATAAATTTTGGTTGATGTTAATCAAGAAATTAGTTTAATTGATCTTTGAAAAATAAAAAGAGACACATAAACCGGAACAATTAATATTATACACGGAAGATATTAACTTTTAATTTCTCGTATTCTCTCTTGTCGTTTTTTTTTTGTTTGGTAAGTTTGGTTTGGAGAACAGATAGTAACTCCAAATTTTGTAACTTCAATTTTATTTCTTACACTCTATTATAATATTGGTCTTTTTAATTAGTTCAAATTCAGTTACACTCGTCCCATGATTATTTTGTAATCAGAACTAGCATTGTGACTGTTCTTCAATCTAAAGTCTAGACCAGGCAACTAGGCCGGTTCAGACCGGATCCAATCAATATTTTTTCTAACTCGAGACCCAGACCCAATATTTTATTTCTTTTAACTCACATTATTTTCATTTTAATTCATCAAAAGATTTTCGATTTTACATTTCTTTTTATGTTCTTGATCGTGCCCGAATAGAGAATGGGCACGAAGCCCTCTCCCCGTTCTAGTATCCAAACAGGCCAGCCGTTCTAAGTTTCAGGGTGGTCATTCTATTCTCAAGTCTTAATTGTGAAAATAGCACGGACTAGCCAGTTTTCGGACTGGTAAATAAAAAATAGCCAGCATTTGCACATTAAAAAAGCTACTATTTTGTTGTAACACAGAAAGTTCCAGCATAATATACCGGAGATTGCTGCACCTGTGTATGAACTTCAAGCATATTATGCTGGAACTCCAGCACACGAAAATTCCAGCATAATATACTGGAGATTGGAGCACCAGTGTATGAACTTCCAGCATATTATGTTGGACCAGTATATTATGTTGGAACTCCAATATATTATGCCGGAAGTTCACATATAAAAAATTGGAACTCCAGTATAATATGCTAGAATATTTTTTGGATTTTGAACAGTATTATCGTTCAGATTTATCTTTACATAAAAAGTGACTAAATTTCGATTACTTTTAAAATTGTGGTTATTTTCAATTACCACTTGTAAATCTGACTATTTTTTAATTTTCACCCGCACTTTAGTATAATATTGTAAGGACCAATTTGAGTAATGTTGGCCCCTAGGGTAGTTTTTTCTCACTTATCTTTTAACATGACACCTGATACAACATTATAAAAAGCACATATACAAATAAAAATATCTGATTGTATGTATATAAAAAGAAAAATCCAAATGGTTTCCTTAATTTCTTTGGTTTTTTTGGTGAAAAGGGAATTCAAATCCATCGTTTGTTACGTCTTGACCCATTGGCTCCTTGAAACCATCTATCCCACTTAACATCTGATGGGCCTTTTGTCCTGCAAAAGCAAACCAACATTTTATTTCGTTTGGACGGTTTGAAATTTCATCCCTCTACTTATCTTCACTTAAATATCATATTAAGAAATTTAACTTCAACAATTGCCTACCAAGAAAATAAGTATAAAATACAAAATCAATCGGTCGTTTGAACTAATTACTTTCATTAGTCAAAAAATATATAAATATGTATACTTTTTATACATAATACACATATACAAAACCTATTATTTTTTGGAGCGACTAAAAATATATATTTCGTAAGAGATTAACCATACGCACACGCACACACCAAGGGGACCGAAAGTGAAGCCCCTAAAAGATTAGGGGGGAAATAAAAGAGAAGCAACGATAGGACGCGAGTGATGATAATATAATTAAATCTACAGAAGATACAGTTAAAGTGCAATAAATAAACTAGGCGGCAGAGCCGACCATATAAATAAAATACAATAAAATAAATTAGGTGGCTTAGCCAACCATAATGCAAGAGTAATATAAATAAACTTGATTGTTATTGAAACTGAAATTGATATTACAATTCAAAAACTTATAATAGTATGTAATCTACGAACAATCCGCACTCAATAGTGAGTGAGAACAGCCGTTGATGTATTATAGTACCCAACAAGAGTCGGGGTCGAATTCATCAAGGAGTTTGTGTAGGGTGATAGGGTAGATACTTGATGAGAGTACGTGAAACAACCCAATTGCGCTTCCAAACAAAGGGTGTTTGTTTTCCTAATTAAAACTAAGAAATTTAAACTAATTGCAATTAACTAGAAAGAGAATAATTATTTTTTATATTTTAATCAATTGGGAAAAGCCTAGGGATGTAACTTTCGCCTAGGTGCCAACCTAATGGGTAAATCACGTTAATGTTTGTTTTGTTGATCGGGGTGTACTATAAATTTCAATTCTCAAGTACCCACTCAATACTTCTCAGATATATAGTGGTTATGCCCAAATTGGCTTTCTCAAGTCCAATTGGGTATTAATTCAAACAGTTGATATGAGTTCAAGTCAGGTTTTCTCTATCTCTAGTTCAAACCCTTTAATTAGACTAGCCAAAACCTTAACTAGCCCAATTCCTTGTTAGCCAAGTTTTCCTAGACTAAGTCTCTCTTTCTCAAGTAAGAACCAAGTCAAATAGGAATGAATCATTGTTTGTAACTATTAATTCTAGAAATAATGCATAAACAAGGCTAAATAATAAATACTCAATTATAAACAAGAACTGAATTTAATAACTCATAAGGTTTACACATTAGAGTTGGGTCACAATTAAGATTAATTGATAAAACTAATGATTCTTCACCAATATTTTTCACTACTTTTCCAGAAGGATAAAAGATAACTACTACAGATGCTTACAATACAAAACTTCTAAAAAGTGTTTCCTGTCTATTTATAGTGCCCTGAAATTCGCTGACAAAAATGCCCTTCGGGAGGTTTTGCGGCAGCACAATTCCATGTGCAGTCCGCACTTTTCTTCTCTTCTTCAGTTGGAGGATTTCTGCAGCTGTACTATTCCATCTGTTGCTGCACTTCAGCGACTACGGCTGCATTTTTTCATCTACAAACCGCACTTTAGCGAGGCTTCATACTTGGTCTTCTTGCACCTTCTTTGAACTTTTCCAATAATGTCAGTGTGACCAGCTTTTGCGGTCGCATAATTTGGTGCGCGGACCACACTTGTTTAAACTCCTCCAAGGCTCAGGTGTCTTCTCTGCGTTCGCATGTGTATTTCTGCGGACCGCACTTTAGCCTGATGTACTCTTTCTTGCCTTTTTGAGCCTGAATACTCCTTTTTTAAGTTAGAATCGTTCGTTAAGGTCCCATCCTCCAACAAGCCTATAATTTGCACAATTTCATCAGTTTAGGAACAAGAATCAACACTTTCGGACTAAAATTAAAGCAAGAAGGTACTAGCAAGTGGTTAAAATCCACACTTATCAGTATGCTAGAGGGAGTAAGCTCTAACCAATTCTAGAGAGAGAGAGGGAAAAAAATTCTTTCTCAAGTGATAGTGTAATGTATTGTATTTTTACAAGTGATAGGGGGAAATATTTATAGTCAAAAACTAAAATAAGATAGCGTTTCCTAATGTTATTGATGATGTCATTAGAAGTAAGTGCTTGTTGATATCGTGAATGATGCCAATTGTGTTGTCAATATTTTGTCATACTGAAGTAATCCCTGATTATTTTCTCATAAAATTATATCGGGGTTTTCTGATGATGATGATTGTTCAGACGAAGATGCTTGATATTATTGACCTGGAATTTGTATCTTGACTTGGTGAAGCACTTTTTTCATTTACTGGATAAAATTAAGTTTGCTGCTGGAATTGGCTAATTGTGCAGCTGCAATAGATTTCTGCTACAAAAATAAAAATTGGGCAGCATCTGTTATGGCTAGATATTGTGGATTAGCCAAAAACCACTTGTCTATGCTGGGTAATATGCTTCAGATGGATCCCAATTTTTGTACCACTTGTAGTGGCCTTGGAGATCTAACCATGATAGTCTTTTGTGTCCTAGTTTGTGGAAGAAAAAATTCTGGGAGTAGATCTACGAAATGTGAAATTTGTGAGAAAACTAGAGGAGTGTGGGTATTTGTTGCTCACTAGAAAATCTGTGGCAAAAATAGTCATATCCTTGTTTTACTGGCAAAGGGAGAACTTCAACCTTATGACCGTAAGCAGGCCACCACTGATGCATAAATCACTGAGGGAATTCAGAGGTTAATTGTTTATCCTGGAGGATAAACCATGAATATTTTCCTAGTTGGTTTTGGAAGGTGAAAGCATTCATTCACGCTACGTGGTAGTCATAATAATTATAAAATTGTGGATCAAAAGGTTGAGAAACCTTTTTGTATTTAGCTAGATATGTTCCGCATTCTTTTGGTGAGAATATTTTTTTAATCCACACCGTAGTATGTATGACATATGATTGTGTCTTCTTATCTTTTTAGGGTTTAAATAAACAAGATTTGGTGTATGTAAGAATGAACTCATAGTATTTTTTAGTATAGTTAGGAGTTTTTTTGTATGAAATTGGTTAAAGGGTAAGTATTTGCTTAGCTACCTCTTGGGGATTGGAATTTAAGAATTCTGGTTCAATTTGAATAAGTGGTTAGACACTTTCATTCTTAATATAAGTGGGTTCCTCGGAGTAGGAGCCTTTGCATGAAGAAATAGATTATGGCACTGGTGTCGAATGCACCATGTTTTTGTTTTGTGGGATGTTGGATAGACATCTAGTGCGTGCAATGGGGCTTTTAGCCTCCACTGATTTTTGTGTGGTGCTTTTAGCAACCACGGAATATGAGAAAGTTGTATGGCTTTGGGCCGCCACGAGGTTGGAAGAAGATGCTTGGATTTGTGCCGCCTTATTAGAACAATAATTTTGATACAATTGATATTGATCTCTCAGTTATTTTCTAAAAAGGCCAAACATGGTCATTTGATCTTTGAATCCCATGAGTTGGCGCATAAATCCTTCATTTGACCAAGGAAAAGACATAGTCTGGGCTAGTTGAGTTTGAGCTTGTTGAGATTCTTCTTTCTCAACTCGGTCTGCCCATTTCTCTGGATTGGAAATAGAATGGGCTATGAATTTTCTAAGAAATAAGCTTGAGGAACCCCGCTCATGGTTTAGGCTAGCTTGGTCCGGTTGTGTCTTTTGAGGGTTGCTTGGAGGCAACTAAAATGATTTTTCATTAGGATACAACATCTGTTTGGGATTGTTTAGGTATTGATTCAGTCATATTTCCCTCTGGCAGAGGAAGAGCAGATATTTGAGTATCCGAAATTTCTGTCTTTTTTTTCCTAAGCATTTTATCTCCCTTGCAAAAATTCTAGAATAAAACAATCTGAAATACAGTTTAAGCTCCCTTTAGTATCAGAGCCATGGAAGGAAGTAAGGATTATTATTCTTATTTTTAACTTGTTGTTATGTGGAATTTATGGATCAATAAACTTAGATTTATGAACACATGGATCAATAAATTTTTCACCTAATTACTTGCAAATATGACTATGGCTTTCTTCCACCCTTTTTCTTCCCCTCACAAAAATTTCTTCCTTTCTCCAACTTCAAGGAGCTTAAACTGTATTTCAGATTTTCTTACCCCGAGAATTTTTGAGGGAAGATAAAATGCCTAGGAAAACAAAGACAGAATTTTTGGATACTCAAATACCTGCTCTTCCTCCACTGGAGGAAAATATGACAGAAGCAGTACCCAAACAGTCCCAAACAGATGTTGCATCCCAACAACAAATCATTTCAGTTACCTCCAACCAACCCTCAAAAGACACAATTGGACCAAGCCAGCCAAATATAGAAAACCATCAGATTATGCTATGAGCGGAGTTCCCCAAGCTTATCTCTTAGAAAATTCAGAGCTCATTACAATTTTCATTTCAAAAAAGTGGACAGACTTGGTTGAGGAAAAAGAATCTCAACAAGCTCAAACTCATCTAAGCCAAACCATGCTTTCTCCTTGGTCGGATGAAGAATTCATCCATTGGCGCTAATTCATTGGATTCAAAAATCAAATAACCATGCCTGGACTTTTTCAGAAAATAACTGAGAGATCAATATCAATTGTATCAAAATTATTGTTCGAATGTGGCGCCACAAAGCCACGCATCTTCTTTTCAACCTCGTGGCGGCCCAAAGCCACACAGACTCCTCACGTCATGTGGTTGCTAAAAGCACCACACAAAAATCAGTAGAGGCTAAATGCCCCATTGCACGCACTGGATGTCTATCTGACATCCCACACAAAATACAAGCGCGGTGCATTCGGCACCCAATCAAGCACTTTCCTCATCAGTGCTACAACCTATTTTTTCAAGCAAAGGCACCTCCGAGGAACCCACTTACATTAAGAATGAAAGAGTTTACCCATTTGTTAAAATTGAACCAGAATTCTGGCATTCCAATCCCCAAGAGGTAGCTAAATAAATACTTAGCCCTTTAGCCAATTCCATATAAAAAAACTCCAAACTATACCCAAAAATATTATAAGTTCATTCTCACAGATACCAAATCCTGTTTATTTAAACCTCACAAATATAAGTAAACCCAGTCATATGTCACACATATCACAGTGTAGATTAACAAAATAATCTCACCAAAAGAATAGGGAACACATCCAGCTAAATACTAAAAGCTTCTCAATCTTTTGGACCATAATTTTATAATTATTATGACTACCAAGCAGTGTGAATGAATGCTTTCACCTTCCAAAACCAACTTGAAAAATATTCATGGTTTATCCTCCGGGATAAACTATTAACTTCTGAATTCCCTCAGTGGTTTATGCATCAGTGGTGGCTATGCTTACGGTCATAAGGTTGAAATTATCCTTTCGCCAGTAAAAAATGAATATGACTATTTTTGCCACAGGTATTCTAGTGAGCAACAAATACTCATACTCTAATTTTCCCACATATTTTACATCCTGTGGATCTACTCCCAGAAGTTTTTCTTCCACAAACAAGAAGGACACAAAGGACTACCGTGGTTAACCCCCCAAGACCACTGTAAATGGTACAAAAATTGAGATCCGTCTGAAGTATATGTCCCAGTAATAGACAAGTGATTTTTGACTAATCCACAATATCTGGCCATAATGGATTCTGCCCAAATTTCATTTTTACAGCAGAAATCTATTGCAACTGCACAACTAGCTAATTCCAGCAGCAAACTTGATTTTATCCAGCAAATAGAAAAAATTCTCTACCAAATCAAGACACAAATTCTAGGTCAACAATGTCAAGCAGCTTCGTTTGAAAAATCATCATCATCATCATTAGAAGACCCCGATATAATTTTCTGAGAAAATAATCATGGATTATATCAGCATGACAACATATTGACATCACAGCTGATATCATCCATGACATCAGCAAGCACTTACTCCTAATGACNCTAATAAAAACATACTACATTACACTACCACTTGAGAAAGAATTCTCTCCCTCTCTCTAAAATTGGTTAAAGCTTACTCGCTCTAGTATACTATTATAAGTTTTTAGCTTGTAATATCAAGTTTTCAATTTTAATAACAATCAAGTTTATATTATATTACTCCAACATTATGATTGGCTAAGCCACCTAATTTATTTTATTGCATCTTATTTATATGATCGGCTCTGTCACCTAGTTTAATTATTTCACTCTAATTGTATCTTCTTCAGGTTTAAGTATATTATCGTCACTCGTTTCTTGTCCTTACTTATCTTTTATTTTTTTCTAATTTTTTACGAGTTTCGCTTCCGGTCTCCTTTCACTTATAAGAACACACTACATGCAATAATTTCCCTATCAAGTTTTGTTTCCAGGAGGTTCAAACTTGCAGCGTGCATCTAACTCACACATTACGTATTGTATTCTTAATACTAGACCAAAGCCCTTGGGACTACTAGTCTTTTTTATTAGTTGTGTCACATAACTTTTTTAGATAGTGATTACTATTTTATGTTAAAATTAGAGATATTTAAGTCAAACTTCAAAAATAAAGTAGAATTTGAAGATCTCTGTGCTACGTATGTCTTTCTTCTTTTCATTTGTAAACTAAGCAAGAGAAATGAGGAAATTTCATCTCGAAGCAATTGATGTTGTTGTTCAAAATAACTTTTTTCCCCTAATTGCTCATAACGAAACCATAATTTCTTTGTGAAAGGTCATATATAATCTAATAGCATGTTTGGCCAAGCTTCTAAAATTAGCTTATTTTGAAGCATTTTTTTTCAAAAGTGTTTTTTTAGAAATAGTTGGTGAGAAGCAGTTTATATGTTTGGTTAATTAATTTGAAAAACACTTTTGAGCAGCAATTAATATTTAGCCAAACTTGTAAAAAGTGTTCTAAGTGTATTTTTCTCAAAAGTGGTTTTGGGAAGCAGCTATTTTTTCCGCTTCTACTTCTGCTCAAAAGCTTTTCTTTCTTCTAAAAACTTAGCCAAACACTTTAACTTTTAAAAAAAAACTCTTGAAAAATTTGCTTTTGGCCTTGGAAAAGCTAGTCCAAGAAAGCTATAAGCTATTGTTTTCCATCCACCACGCTTTCAAACTCTGTGAAGCCCAAAAGAGGAATACCATTATGGTTGAAATGATGTCTAAATTTATAGGTGAAATGACACAAAAAAAACACCAAAAAATGTGGTGCAGCTGATGGGGCTGTTCTTTTCTTAATTAGAGATTTCGGGTTCGAGTTATGAGTTGGAAAAATCTTTGGTAAGGAGCGCTTCCCCTAGATAGGGCCCTACTCGGCGTGAATTCGAATATAGTCGGGTTCCAATGTAGGTAAAGTACACCAGATGTGAAACCAAAAAAAGAAATGACACAAATATAACAATGTTATTTCTTGTAGGGAGTCACGACAAAGTCTATTTTCTTTTTGGTTTTTCATTCTATGTTGTACTCATTGGGGTCCGACTAAATTCGAATTCGCATTGGAAAGTCCCACATTGAAGGTAAAATGCTCCCTTACAAAGGTAATTTTATACCTAAGAATCGAACTCGACACCGTTGAAAAATAATACTTATCACTCCATTATAACTTTCGTTAATAATCCCGATAAAGTTTGATATTTAAGCAAATAAGAATAGAAGGACGGGTTCATTATCCATATGAACGATGCCTACTGACACTCCGTTTGAAGAAAAAAATTATTGTGGGAGGTTGTAGCACTAATATTCCACTCTTGGAAAAATAGAATTAAAACGGGGGGTTTACATTTCGTTGGTCTTATTTCAACTTCATCTAAATTAATATTTTTGGAATCAATTTTATTAACCAAAACTAAACATATTTTATCGAATATAATCTAAGAAATTGCAAAATGAAGAACTAACTAAACACTACTAGCTACAAAAACAGTGATTAGAAAAGTTGGCTTAATTTACAAGACACTATGGAGACCCATTGAATCTCTTTAGGGGTCCTTTTGGTATCTTTACACAAATAGCCGGTCGGATTTACTGTTTATTTTTTCTAACCGGTATATATAGATTATTCATTAATTAGGCACGGTCATACACAAATTATACGTAGATTATACACATATTATACATTCATCAATTATAGTTGCTTTAAGTGGTTGGGTAAACAGCTATTTAGGTTGATTCTTCTTTTGTAATTTATGTGATGGCCTATGTCTTCAAAGTCTAGAAATAAAACACCTTTTTAAATTTTATAATACTAGATATACTATAAAATTTGTATAGCAATAAGATTTGAAACTTGTAGTACAAACATATAAAAATTTATGGCTATAATAACTTCCCATTAAAGACAAAATGAGAAGCTTAAATTTAAATCATTCTCAATTATAAAATTTGTCATTATTTTGAAAAATGGTCAATAAGAAAATAGTGTTATATTTGCTTATGGAGGCAGCTGAAATAGAAAATACGAATTGAAAAATTAAAACTCATAAAAAGTGTAAATTTGTGATAATTCTTACACTGGAAGCAGAGCATCTGGTTTGGATTCTACAATTGAAAGAAATCTGCAATAAAAAAATAACAATAATAAAAAGCAGACTCAACTTAAGATTTTTTCTTATAATTTTGAGATAATAAATTTAAGATAGTTTATTTCATTTTAAAAATCCATGTATATGATAATCACTTTTTATTAATAAAATAAGGAAAAAAATTTACAAAATACATGAAGGAATTTGGAAGGGAAAGAAAGAATAAAAGAGAATACAAGGAAATAATTTTAAAAAGAAATTCAGAAAATAGCCGAGATAAATCTTTATTTTGTACATTTTTGCGTAACTCACTTTTACAAATAATTTACATATCTTCTTATGATGTTCCAGATTGTTAATACTTACAAATAATTTACATATCTTCTTATGATGTTCCAGATTGTTAATACTTACAAATAATTTACATATCTTCTTATGATGTTCCAGATTGTTAATACTTACAAATAATTTACATATCTTCTTATGATGTTCCAGATTGTTAATACAGTCATACATCTCTATAACAATATCTCTATATAACTAGTTAACCACCATTCAATTATAAAAGCCACAATTTTTTGGAATCGATTTTTATATTATGTTATAATATATATCATTTATAATAGCACCTCACTATAATAGCCAAAAAATATCAGAACAAAGGTTATTATAGAGAAGTTTGGCTGTATAAGAAAAAAAGCGATGTAGAAATGAATAATCTAAAACTTACTCTTTGCAGACTACGGAGGCCTCTCCATATGATTCAAGCTGCTCCATTTCTTCCTGCAATATGAATTTACAACACCTAACTTCAAACTCAAATAATAACCAATAACAACAACAACACCAACAACAACAACAACAACAACAATAATAATAATAATAATAATAATAATAATAATAATAATAATAATAATAATAATAATAAGTAGCTTATGTTTTATACTTTGATCAGCGTATAAAGCTCAATCAGGTAACTTAGTAAAATAATTACAAATGGTATTATGATCAACATTAATCAATAACCCGATGAAAGTGTTAACTAATCTAATATTACAAATTAAGTTGCAATGAAAAAATCTTTAACCAATCAATATATATAATTTAAATAAATTAAAAAAGAAGAAGAAAGGATATTTCTAAAAGGGTAAGAGCTTATATCATCTAACAGACCACATCGTGCTCAATCAAATAATAAACACCGACAATGATTTGGTTTATCTGCCCGACTTAGTAGAAAGATAAATATTGTTCTATATTTCATCAACACAAAAATCATGCCTTATCAACTATAAAAGAAAATATTAAAAAAATGAAGACCTGAATAAAGTGAATTTGCTGATCGAGAGAAGCAATGGCAGCAGCCATACGATGTTTCCCCATAACAAAATTAACAGTTGTTCTTGAAATAGGTTTTATAATTGTGTCAGCCATAGATGAAGAAGGAGAAAGAACTTCTGTTTGAAGCTCATTATCAAGTTCTTGTGAAATTGATGGTGACTCCATTAAAGCTAAGATCAAGAAAATGGAGATATGATAAAAGCTTTTTCTTGGGTTTTGGGGGGTTGTATTTTTTAATTTTAAATAAGAAATGAGAAACCAATAATGAGTAGTCAAGGTTGGGGTTGCGTGAAAGCAGATCACAAGTGGCAGTATGCTCAAAAGGTTGGTGGGCAATGCGAGTCACATAGTATTGGTATCCCCGGGATTAATATACCATCAAACTTTTCTATAACAATTTTGTATACTTTTATAATTTTGCGTTCTTATACTAAAATGTTGTTTTATAAAATATATATTATAATATAATATAGAAAATTGATTTCAAAAAAATTTAGCTGTTATAATAAAATATTATTACATATATGATTATTACATAAAGATCTGACCGTATAAAATTTGTTGCTCTTTGAGTTACAATATAAAGTAGCAGCATGGTCAAAAAGGTTGGTGGAGAATGGGAGATAGAGAGTCTTGGTATCTAACACGTAGAGGCGGACCTACCTTTCGGGTGGAGTCATCCACCCCTAATAATATAAAATATATATATATATATATGTAATGTGTATGGTGACCTTACCCTTCTTCCGATCAGATAGAGAGGTTATTTCCGAAAGACCCTCGGCCCAAAAGGAGCAAACATAATAAAGTAGGATATTTTTTTTAAGTGGGAAATTATTTAAAGCTATAATACAATTTTTTTGCAGGAGAATGAAATATATTAACATATGGAGAAAAAGTGAAATCAAGTGGGGAAGTGGATTAGGTGGGGATGAGCACGAGGGGTCAAAGGGAATATGGAAATTGGTCCTAAAGTTTAATGTCAAAAGAGAAGTGGCCACCAAAGTTGGTATGTTAGCAAGTGCTTTTCTTTTATATATATATTTTTTTTAACTTCTCACTTTTTAATAATTTTTTTCAAAATTTAAGTGTAAATTTTTCCAACAAATTCATAGACGAATGATAACTACACGACCTTGTCTATTTATTTTGCTGGCTTGAATAAATATATTCTTTAAAGTTTCTATTCATCTTAAAATATTTTCTCATGATATTGTTAAGTATTCAATTTGTCATAATTTATGTGAGTATGTTTGATTACGCATAGACTTTAAAAAAGAAAGATTTTTGAAATTATGATCTAAAACCACTAAAAATTGCACAAGTATCATCTTTAGTCGTCATCATTTAATATATACCCATTTTTAAAAAAAATTAACTTGTACCTAATTTTTAAACAATTTCAGCTCATTTCTCCTCTTCCTTCTCCTCCTTTGTTTTGTTCTTCTTCTTCTATTAACAACTGAAAGGCACTATGATTAATTCTCTAATACTACCACCATCTTAAGAGAAATTTTCATTCTGTCATATACAGAACCCCAACATCGACGGAATCCGATTACATTCTCTTTCAAAAAAAAGAGCTTAGTGATATGCATGAGTTGCAGTCAGCAACTTACACCAACACTGCCTAAAGATAGGCCAGGAGAGTTTGCCTTAATTTGCAAATGATGAAAACTGTAAAAAAGATCCATCATTTGCTTAGACTGCAACTCATACACCAAAGAGCACTTGCCATAATATTGTACTGGTTGTAACATAAGATTTAAAATGAACTACAATTCGATAATTAAATACTTTTCTGTTTCGTAGTGACCAAAAGTTAAACTTCGTGGCCAGATTCCTTTTACTGCACAACAAACAAAATACTATTCACTACAATTACTTTATAAAGTTTTTTGCTTATGGTCTTATGGATTCAACTTCAGTTTATATAGTGCTAAAGTTTTTTACAAATGAACTAAATAACTTCAACATCTTCTGGTGAAGTTTTTGAAAAAGCTTATCTAAGACAAAAAAACTTCAGCTTATTTAGTGCTGAAGTTTTTACAAATGAACTAAATAACTTCAGCATCTTCTGCTGAAGTTTTTGAAAAAGCTTTATGACAAAACTAATGAATCCAGGACAAAAAAACTTCAGCTATTTTAGTGCTGAAGTTTTTACAAATGAACTAAATAACTTCAGCATCTTATCCAGGACAAAAAAAACTTCAGCACTGCCTTTGCTACTTCAGGCTCATCTACTAGAATGCTGAAGTTTTGCGTGATTGTCTTTGCTACTTCAGCCCCGTATGCTGAAGTTACGCGAAAAAGTAGGTACATTTGTAATTTTTTTCGCAAAGCGGACACAAGTTAAAACGTGATCCAAAAGCAGGTATAGAGGCAAATTCCCCCTAAAACCAAGACATAGACATTTTGTGGCTGTAAATGATCTCATTAAGAGTAAATAAAAATTTTAAATTAAATTATTTTTAAATATAAAAATTACCAGTCTTTTTTAAACATATTAAAAGAATAAATATTATATAAAATTAAGACAAGGGGAGTATTGAATTTTCTTGGCTTACCATAGGATATGCCCATTGAGAATTTCGTATGGCCATCATAAGATTTTTTTAATGTAGAAGACTACTTTATTAATTTTTATGTAATACTTTTTAAAATTTGCATCTCAATATGTCTTCTTTTTTCCTAATTATTTTTTTCTTAATTACTAATCCCCTTGGTAACCCTATTTCATCATATATTGTTTTATTTTGTCATCTATATTCATCTTTTATGCCTGGAAAAGTCAATATTCATTCAAATAAGGAAACTTCCTTAATAATATTGTCGGCTGATTTACACAAATGTCCAATTTTGGTCATAGTTTAAATTGTATTCTTATTTTAAGAAGTAGCATAAATATAGCCTTAAAAAATTATGTCTCATGGACAATATAGACTATGGTTTAAGTTTGCTCATAAACATTAAACTACGGTTTAATATTTATAATAACTTACAAAATTTTAGATCGTAGTATACCATTTTCTTACAAGATTATCAGTTTGCTTGTAATAGAAAGAAGAATGCAAATTTTTATATGCTTGATCCCTTTTTAAAAACTATTCTCATAAATGATAGTAGGCTTTGTTCATTCCAAAAACAACATATTTTTATTACTTTTTAGCACTTTCACATTGATAACTCCATTAACCAAGGGATCCCTCTACATTAATACACTTTTTACTACATTTCCTTTTCCCCCACTCTTCTATAATTTCTTGTTTTTCTTCCATAAATAATACTTACCCAAATATATTAAAGATTCTGAAAGAAGAATATCTCAAAAATAATTCCTTCTGCACAATGAGAATTTTAGTATTTTTTTTTATTTTTTGAGTTTTAAAATTTTTCTGTACAATTTTATTTTAACTCAAAATATACATTTAATATATTTCAAGTATAATATATTGTGACAATTTACAATGTAAATATTCCATCAGTATGTCATATATATATATATAGCATAATACATTATTATATTGATATTATTCAAAGTATATTGCTAGCATATACCTTACATAAAATTTAATCTAAAATATTAACATGCTTAATATGTATATAGAAGAAAAAAGTATGTCACATATATTACTTATATTCGAATTATTTATACAAATATGCATGTTATATATGCATATGTTGTTTATATACGTATATTATATCTATTTAAATATAAATATGTGTATAAATAACATATGCATATATACACAATTTTTTCTGAAAAAACACATGATTTATAATATACCACAAACATACATATATTTTTTCACGAAATATATGTATTTTATTTCATTGGAATATACAGATATATAATTTTTCGAGGATTAAGTTGAATAAAAAGGTCCATGTATAAAAATAGAAAAACATTATTATGGAATGGATCGATGATATATATTTAAATATAAAAATGTATATAAACAACCTATGCATATATACATGAATTTTCCTATAAAAAAAAGTACATGATTTATAATGTATATATACGACAAACATACATTATAATTTTTTCGTAAAAATATGTATTTTATTTCATCAGAATATAAAGATGTATCTACATTGCATTATATAAAAAGGTTCATATATGGAAAGGAAAAAATATGTTATGGAATTGATTGGTTTCTAATGAAAACATAAACATGTTATGGAATGGAGAGAAAAAATTGGGAAAGATATTAAATACTAGGATTGCTTTTTTTTTAAACATCTTGATTCTTGCTAATTTGAATTGAATTAAATCTGCTATATGTATAAATATTTTACTGCCATATTTGTTAATCATTAATTAATACTAATCTTTTGTATTATGTTTTTAATAGTGTGCTATTAATGAAAGTAGCCCGTTACAAAAAAGGACAACTCTCGAAAATTTTAGTAAAAATGGCGTGTAGTAGCCACTAAATAAGGGTGTATTTAATTTATCCACTATTTAAAATGCTTATAAAAAATAGCCACTACTAAGGGGGAAAAGACACAATTACCCTTTCTCTATTTCTTGTATAATCCCAAAATCGACGAAAACCCTTATTTCATTCGTTCAGAGTTCTGCACTTCTTCATCTTCCTCGTATGCAAACTTTAATCTCAGTTAAACTTCTGCTCCTTCATCTTCTGTCAATCGCGACTGGTAATATATTTTTTTTATGCATTTTCGTTTTTCTTTATTTGTAAGTTGGTTCAATGTCGTGTGAAGTATGTGTGAAATTTCAAAAATTAGCATTATATGTTGATTTAGTGTAGTATATTTTGTGTAATTCTGTTTTTGATAAATTTTTAGTGTGTGAAATTTGAAATGTGTTTGTGGTTGATTCAATATATTTGATTATGTAGGTATATTTCATAAAAATAGTCGTAGAAATTCATAAGCTTACTGTAATTATGAATTTTCAGTTAACTGTANGCTTGTCCTTAAGTTTTAAACATGTCCTTCTCTTTGTAACTTAGTTACTTTCTCAGGATTTAAAGAAACCTCTAGGATCAAAGCTTGATACTTTGATGAACATGTTTGGGAAAGCTGATCAGATGAACACAGATACAGAATCTAGTGTTCCAATTAGAAAATATGGAGTTGATGATCATTGTCGTGCTACTGAGCGTACTGGCATATTCAACCAAGATACAAGTGGTGTTGAACGTGATGATATGGATGTGCATGCAGAGGGTCAGTATGAAAGAGAATTTAGAGATGCACATCTAGATGATGAAACTGAAAATGTTACTGATATTGGGAAAGGTTAGATATAGATTTTAATTTTTATTTTCATTGAAATGTATATTCAATAT